CAATGCAGGTGGCTGCTCTAGAACCTTCCGTTCTAGAACTTGTCCCAGTTCCCAAGAGCCTGCTCTCCCTGCTTAGTCCGCAGCCTTCCTAGCCTCCCACCGAAGCTTCCTAGCCCACGTTCTCAGCCTCACGCCCAGCAAGTCTTCAGAAACGTGGCTGCTGCCCCAAGTGGGGGTGCAGTCCGCCCGGCCCCCTGCTGCCCTAGCCCCTGCCCTCTGACACAGTCGAGCCTCGCGCTGCCCACACCCCGAACTGAGACTGACAGTAGACTGGACCGCCAAGCCCTCTTCCGTGGCTCCCTGCCCTCCATGAAGGGCAGTGGTAGGCGCAAGTTGGAGCAGAGAACCTTCATGGACCAGGTTCGAGAGTGCATGAGCAATGGCTACCTGCTCTCCTCCAAGAAGATTGGCTCTGGGGCCTTCTCCAAAGTATACCTGGCCTATGCTACCCATGAGCGCATGAAGCACAACCCTAAGCTGTCCTCTGACTTGCGGGGCAAGCACCACACTATGGTGAGGCCAGCCCGCCTTCCCCCCCCACCCCAAGGGACTCCCTGGGGTGCCCCAGGGTTGCTCCAGCAGCACCAGCCTCCTCCATAGAGCCCCAGGCTCCAGCAGGCTGACCACTTCCTGTCCCCAAACCCCTGGAACATAGTACCCAGAACACAAGGGGTAGGGAAGGCCAGCACTGCCCTCTGGAGGACACAGTTTTGTTTTTTGTTTTTTTTTTTCCCCTCCTTTGGTCGTGGGGCTTGAACTCTGTGCCTGGGCACTCTCCCTGCGCTCTTCAGTTCAAGGCTAGCTCACTGCCACTTGAGCCACAGTGCCACTGCCGGTCTTCTGATGGTTAATTGGAGATAAGAGTCTCATGTATTTTCCTGCCCCGGGCTGGCTTTGAACCACAATCCTCAGATCTCAGCCTCCTGAGCAGCTAGGATGACAGGTGTGAGCCGCTAGCACCCGGCTAGGACAAAACTTTTGAGCAATGTGTACAAAGGACGGGGCCTGCCACGCCCCATCACCAAACATGGTGGCCTGCACAGGGTCTGCCCTGCACTTCCCACAGGTGGCTATCAAGATTGTCTCCCTGACTGAGGCTCCAGTGGAGTTCTCTCAGAAGTTCTTACCCCGTGAGATCTCATCACTCAATGCCACCTACAAGCACGTGAACGTGGTGGGCCTTGCTGTACCTCGTCCCACCCTCCCCAGGCCCCAGGCCCGTCCTGGCCCCGCCCACTGCCCACCTTAGGCCTCTTGCCCTACTCCTCTCCTAGAACCTCCCTTTGACCTTTGGACTCAGGGCCAGTCTCATCCTCAAGCCAGAATCCAGCACACTTGCCAGTCTTGCCAGCCCGTTGGCCGGCCCCTCCTCAGGGTGGTGATGGTGGGTGTACCTGCTAGGTGCAGCTGTATGAGACCTTTCGGAACAGCCAGCGCTCCTACTTGGTCCTGGAGCTGGCAGCCCGAGGCGACCTGCTGGAACACATCAACACCGTCTCCAACCACCGGTGCTGCCCGGGGCTGGAGGAGGAGGAGGCCCGAAGGCTGTTTTGGCAACTGGTCAGCGCCGTGGCCCACTGCCACAAAGTCGGCATTGTGCACCGGTGAGGGTGTCACCTGCCCTGCCCACCTGCCTGTCCTGCCCACCCGCCCCCCTGCCCATTCCAGCCCAGGCCCATCTCCTCTCCCCTTTCCCCACAGGGACCTGAAGTGTGAGAACATCCTGCTGGATGACCAGGGCTTCCTAAAGCTGACTGGTGAGCCTGTGAGCTCGGCCTCTTCCCCCAGTCCCCAACACTCTTAGCCCCAGGCTCCAATTGTCCCAGAAAGGCCCCTCCCCTCAGCTCTGATCTAGGTCTAACCCTGAAGGCTCCCAGAGGCCTGTAGCCTACCCTCCATCCAGCCCAGACCCTTGGGTCCAACCTCACACGCCTTCTGCCCCTTCACATCCCTCCCAGCCATCCCTGAAGGCCAACACCGTCCTGAGCCCCTTCTCCCTCACCCTGTCCACATGCTGCCCTGCTTGCTGCCCGATGCAGACTTTGGCTTCGCCAACTGCACGGGGCCCAAGAATTCGCTGCTGAGTACCTTCTGTGGCTCTGTGGCCTACACGGCCCCTGAAATCCTCATGAGCAAGAAGTACAAGGGGGAGCAGGCTGACCTGTGGAGTCTGTGAGTGCCTCCAGGAGCATCCCTGAAGCCACGGGAGGGCTGGGGAGGGGTGGCACCCTGAGGACCCCATGTCCCCAGAGGCATCATCCTCCACGCCATGGTGTCCGGGAAGCTGCCCTTCAAAGAGCGCCAGCCCCACCGCATGCTGCACCTGATGCGCCGTGGCCCCATCTTCCAGCGGGGCCTGTCCCCTGGTGAGTACCCCCCACATCCCTCCCAAGCCCTCTCTGGACAGCAGCCAGACCAAGGCTGCAGGAAGAGCCACTCCAAGGTGGAGAGACTGATCTGTCTAGGATGGAAGCGTTCAGCAGGCACACTGCACTGCAAGATGGAGAAAACTGGTCTGGGTGAGGGAGGGACTGACTCACTCAACACCGAGAAGGGCAATCACCTCGTGCGCTAGCCTAGGGCATGCTGCTTCTCCACGTGATACACAGATCATCTCCAGACTTTGTCAGTATTGTTGGTAGTGGTGGGTGTGGCAGGGGCAGCTGGTGGGGGAGCAGCCACAGCCACAGGCCCTTCCCACAGAATGCCGGGACCTGATTCGGGGGCTGCTTCAGCTGCGCCCCTGTGCACGCCTGGACCTGCAGCAGGTGGCGGCTCACCGCTGGATGCTGTCTGGAGGGCATGCACTCTTCTGTGTACTCCACGAGACACCAGGTGCAGCATGGCCCAGGGGTGTGCGGGGGGTAGGCAGGAGGGTTCTGTGCTCCCTGACCCCTACTGTGCTATGACGCAGGTCAACAGACTAGTTCCCAGCATCCAGTGTCGCAGGACAAGCCAAAGCTAGAGCCAGACTTGCTGTACCCAAAGCAGCAGAGAGCGTGGCACCCCCAGCAACAGGATGCCCCCAAGGGGACCACCTCAGAACCGGCTCTCTGGAAGCCTGTCCCAGACGAGGAGGAAGCTCTTCTGGAAAGATGCTCCGGAGCACCATGGCAGGCAGCTCACTAAGGAGGGATACCAGGCAGCTGCTTATCTCTGAACTCCATGTTTGCTATCAAGCACATGCCTGGGCACACAACTTGGTCAGCTGGGGGTGGGTGGGTGAGGCAGATAAAACATTTATTCTGTGGAACTAATGATGCTGCTATCTGAGCAAAAAGGCCCATGGGTTGGGTGCCAATGGCTCATGCCTGTAATCCTAGCTACCCAGGAGGCTGAGATTTAATTGTGGTTTGAAAGCAGCCTGAGCAGTTAAGTATGTGAGACACGCAAAAAGCTGGAAGTAAAGCTGTGGCTCAAGTGGCAGAGCACCAATCTTGAGTGACAAAGCTAAGGGACAGTGTCCAGATCCTGGGTTTAATCCCCAACACGCGCACACAGAGCAGATGACCTCCAGAGCCTCCTAGACTGAGGCTCTGCTACCACATCTTGGGGCTGCAGGTCGAAAGAGGAAGGGGGACCAGTCACAGTATCTGCTACCACAACCAGAGCTTTAATTGGTAAGGGGGAACACATGGTGGAGAGGCCCCTGGCTTCAGGGTGTCCTAGGAGGCTAGCTAGGCTTCTGCAGTCAGGTCCCAGAACTGGCTGGGGAGGAGAGGCCCAGCAGGGAAAAACAATGCGTAAGAATTGCTAGAATTGGGGGCTGTGAACACACAGTTCAAGCCATGAGGAAAGAGCATAAAGCTCCTGGGCCCACTTCCAAGGGAGCAGCTGCTGCTCAGATAGAAAGGCTGCTGGTACTCAGGGGCATTCTGCAGGGTACTGGGGGCATTCTGCAGAGGAAGCTGCAGGGTACTCGGGGGCATTCTGCAGGGTACTCGGAGGCTTTCTGCAGGGGAGGCAGATGTTGCTGGTACTCGGGGGCATTCTGCAGAGGAGGCTGCAGGGTACTCGGGGGCATTCTGCAGGGTACTCGGAGGCTTTCTGCAGGGGAGGCAGATGTTGCTGGTACTCGGGGGCATTCTGCAGAGGAGGCTGCAGGGTACTCGGGGGCATTCTGCAGGGGAGACAGAGCACTCTAGGAGGAGGGTGTGATGTCTTGCAAAGCAGCTAAGGCCAAGGAAGATGAACAGGATGCAGAGAGGACTGGGGGAACCAACAAGGGCCCTGGGGTACAGGTTAGACAAGGAAATAGAAGACAGAAGAGAAGCAGGACCCAGCAAGTGATGCAAAGATAGAATTCCAGGAAGATCCCAAGATTCAAGTATGATCGGCCCCGAGACTAGGTCTGGAGCAGGATGAAGGGACATGGGGCTGATGGCGGAAGCATGTGTACACCCACAGCCTGAACTGTACCCGTGCCCCGTGGCACCCTCGGAAGAGGGAGCTCCACTCCAGCTACTGGAGCGTGCAGTGTTTCCTGTCTGGGCCTCCACTGGGCCTGGAAGCAGATTCTTTGTGGCTCTACTAGCCATCATCTGCCTCATTTACAGCCCAGGCCTGGTCATCTTTGCTCCACAGGGTAACTCTGAGCAACTTTCCCTCTCTTTGGTAGCAAAGGGGCAACATGCTGTCAAGCCTCCAGTGTTCCCTGGACATTTACCCCAGAACCCTGGCATGGACTGGATACAAGCATAGCTCTGGGGTTGGGAAGGTGGCTCAGTGGTAGAGTGCTTGCCTTGCATGCATGAAGCCCTGGGTTTGATTCCTCAGTACCACATACACAGAAAAAGCTGGAAGTGGAGCTATGGCTCAAGTGGTAGAGTGCTAGTCTTGAGCAAAAGCAGTTCAGGGACAGCACCCAGGCCCTGAGTTTAAGTCCCAGAACCAACACACACACACACACACACACACACATATTCACACAATTCAAGAGACTTTTATCTCCAATTAACAAAAAATGAGCTGTGGCTCATTGGTAGAGTGCAAGCCTTGAGCTCAGGGACAGTGCCCAGGCTCTGAGTTCAAGCCTCAGGACTGGCCAAAAAAATAAAAAAAGATTAAAAAATATAGCTCTGCTTCTCAGGAGGAAACAGCCTCCAAACAAGAACAAAGGAGCTTGCAAGAAGCAAGAGGAAGGCGGGCCTAGAGCTGGTGTTTGGGGGCAGGGGCCTCAGGTGGGCAGGACCCCCTCGGCATGCGGCTCCGGTCGAGGTCTTTCTGCTCCTGCTCCAGCTGGTCCAGCTGCTGAAGCCGTCGCTCCACATCCTCGGGCACCTGTACCTCCAGCAGGTTTTCCATGCCGCTCTCTGGCTCATCCCCAATGAGCACCTGCCAGCAGATGAGGCTGATGAGCAGCCAGCTGAAAGCACAACTTCTCCAGCCTCCCCAACTCCGAACCCACCTGGATGAGCTTTTCGCAGGCCACCTGGACATCAGGCTCAGGTTCCCAACTGTGTAGTTCTCGAAGGATCAAGTAGGCTCCCTGGTCCCGCACCTGCCGCCTACCAGGGGCAGTGGCTGTCAGCTGGGGAGATGGGAGCGGTTGCTCAGCTGTCGGTGTGTGCAGTACGTGCGGCATGGGGTGCAGTTAGCATAAAGGACCACTGCTCACCAGCATGATGGCTTCAATGAGCATCTTCCGGATGTCCGCATCAGGCTCACGCTGCTTGTCTGGGGGCAGGTACTGCAGGTCAACAGGCAGCCCTAAGGGGGAGTGTAGGAGCTGAGGGGAGTTCCCCGGTGCACAGCAACTCCTTCCTAGAAGACTCCCGTTGGACACTTCCTTTCCCTCTCCCCCCAGCTGTTTCCCCTGCTGCCCGCCAGTCCTGAAGATCCATCTATCCACTCACTGTCCATTTCTTCCTCCGAGAAATCCTCAGGCCCAGCCAACGGAAGTAACAAGAAGGGGAGAATGTCGACCTCAGGCCCAAGCAACCACTCGTGATGTCCTGACGACGTGGATATTAAAAGAAAAAGAAAGAAAAGGGTCGATCCATAGCGGCTCGGGGCCCAGCCCCACCCCAGCCCCCGCGCCCTCCACTCACGGTGCTCGAAGCAGCAATTCCGCAGCGTCCCCACCACCCCGCCCCTGCGCACCGAGGAGTCCGAGTACTGCGTGAGGGGCAGCAGCCGCTGGACCACACACCTGTCGGGAGGGGCCACGCATTGCCATCCCGCTCGGGCCCGCCGCCGCCCGCGCGGGAGCCGGGGCCTCACCTGCCGGGGTCCAGGAGGAAGGCGCGCGCTCCGGGCTGCTGGCTGAGGTTGGAGAGCAGCGGGCCCAGGTAGTGCAGGGGCGCGCGCGCGTTGTAGCCGGGCGTGCACAGCGCGCGCACCAGCCGCTCCAGGCCCGGCGGCCCCGGCTCGGCGGCCGCCAGCGCCGCCATCAGCGCGGCGCACGGCGCGGGCTCGCGGCTCAGGTTGGCCAGGGCAGCGGCCGCCTCCTCCGCCCAGGGCCACTGCGGGTCCAAGGCGCGGCCGAGCAGGAGCGCGGGCAGGCCGGGCTCGGCCGCCAGCAGCGGCCCGTGCAGGCCGGCGTCCGCGGCCAGGTTCACCAGCGCGCAGGTGGCGTCGCGGGCCGGGGCCGGGGCCGGGGCCGCGGCCAGCGCCGCCAGCGCCCGCAGCAGCTCCGCGTGCGCCGCCAGCAGCCCGCGGCCCGGCCCCGCGCCGCTCAGCGCCAGCACCTGCCGCGCCGCCGCCGCCTGGAGGTCGGCCCGCGCGCCCGGCGCCAGGAAGGGCAGCAGCCCCGCGGCCTCCGCCTCCGGCCCTCCCGGCGCGCACCCGCCCGACACACCCGCGTCCGCCTCGGCCTCCCGCATGCTTCCCGGCACCGCCGCCGCCGCCGCCCGCCCAGGGCCTCGGCCTCGCCCACCCGAGCCACGGAAGCCGCGGCGGCCAATCCGAAGCTCGGGAGCAGGCGGAGGGGGCGGGCGCTAGCCCCGGGGGCGGGGCTAGCCGCGGCGGCCTTCCGGCTGTCCGCCGTCGGCCGGAAGGAGCCTGCGGGTCGGCGTGGGAGCCGCGCGGCCCGCCCTGCGCCCGCTGGCCGCGTCCCGCCCTGGCTCGGGCCGCGGGCCTCAGTCACGAGCGACAAACCCGGGGGGCGTGGCTTCCGGAGCCGGGGCCCGCCACCCCCCGGGTCGCGGGCGGGGGTCCGGGCGCGGCCGGGCCCCGGGGCGAGGGGGGCCGGCGGCCGCCTCCCCGGTGCCAGCCCGCGGCCCGGCTCCGCGCCCGACGGCTGGACATGAGCCGCACCCGCGACAAGGGTCGGACCCGGCACCCGGCCCACGCAGCCGGGACCCTCCGGGCAGCGTCTTCACCGTTAACAAACGCGCTGCCCAAGGCGGCCACCGGCCTGAGCCTGACCCCCACTCCACACCGGGCGCTGGACGCGGCGCTAGATGCTTCCCCGGCCCAGAGCTCAAGCCCATGGCCAAGAAAAGCTTCGCTGGAGCTTTGGTCCGGGCTGAGGGCTCCCCAACAAAGACTCCCAATTCGACCTCTCAAAAGGTGACGTCTCTGTTTCTTGCCGACTGAGTTCCGTTACACCAGGCAAAGGAAGGCACTTACCCAAAGCCAACGATTTTACGTACTTACTCCCCGCCAGGCACAGGGCTGGCTGCTCTGGGCATCTGCACTGTTCCTGCCTGCAATGCTCTTTCTCCAACCATGCACAAGTCTGGCAACATTTCATCAAAGCAATTTTCCCTGGGCATTCTCTATCTAAAGAAGAGACTTGGTCCCCTCCTGGCAAGAACTGCTTCTTCCTATCCACATCTCATAAGACTACAGTTCCTGGAAGTAGCAATGAGGCTCAAAGTCATATGAGCAAAAGAGTTCAGGGACAGTGCCCAGGCTCTGAGTTTAAGCCCCACAACCCCTACCCCCAGCCCCCCACACACAAAGACTACAGTACCCAAGCCAGGAGCCAGTGGCTGGCCTGGCGCCGGTCATCCTAACCACTCAGGAAGCTGAGATCTCAGAATCACCATCCAAAACCAGCCTATGCATTAAAGTCTGTGGGACTTTTATTTCCAGTTAATCACCACCAAGATGGTAGTTGAGTTGTGGCTCAGGTGGTAGAACACTAGCTTTGAAAAGAAAAAGCTAAAGGACTGGCCAGACCCTGAGCTCAAACCCCAGTACCAGCACACACACAAAAATAGATTTTAGCTGGGTGCTGGTGGCTCACACCTATAATCCTAGGTACTCAGGAGGCTGAGACCTGCGGATCACAATTTGAAGCCAGCCTGGGCAAGAAAGTCTGAGACTCTTTTTTTTTTTTTTGTCAGTCGTGGGGCTTGAACTCTGGGCCTGGGTGCTGTCCTTCAGCTCTTCAGCTCAAGGCGAGCACTCTACCACTTGAGCTACAGCACCACTTCCGGTTTTCTGGTGGTTTATTGGAGATAGGAGTCTCACAGTCTTTCCTGCCCGGGCTGGCTTTGAACCGTGATCCTCAGATCTCAGCCTCCTGAGTAGCTAGGATTACAGGCGTGAGCCACCAGCGCCCGGCTAGTCTGAGACTCTTAACTCCAACTATATATACACAGAGGCAGAAGTGGAGCTGTGGTTCAAGTGGTAGAATGGTAGCCTGGAGCAAAAATGCTCAGGGAAAGCACCCAAACCCTGAGTTCAAGTCCCAGGCTGGGCACAAAAAATAACATTTTTTGGGTTTTTTTTTTTGGGGGGGGAGGGGGTCCGGTCATGGGGCCTGAACTCTGGGCCTGGGTGCTGTCCCTCAGCTCTTCAGCTCAAGGCTAGCACTCTACCACTTGAGCCACAGCGCCACTTCCAGCTTTTTTCTTTCTGCTTATGTGGTGCTGAGGAATGGAACCCAGAGCCTCATGCATGCAAGGCAAGCGCTCTACCACTGAGCCACCTTCCCAGCTCCTAAACAATGTTTTTAAAAAGAAAAAAATTAGAAAGCCAGCTGGGTGTCAGTGGCTCATGGCTGTAATCCCAATACTGGCACACACATAAAACATTTTTGCTGGGTTCCGATGGCTCATGCTACTAGGCTCCTAGCTACTCAGAAGGCTGAACCTACACAAGAAAGCCCATGAGAATTTTTTTTTTTTTTTGGTCAGTCATGGGATTTGAACTCCAGGTCTGGGTGCTGTCCTTGATCTCAAAGCTAGTGTTCTACCATTCGAACCACACCACCACTTACGGTTTTCTGGTGGTTAAATGGTTATAAGAGTCTCACAAAGCTGGGCACTTATGGCTCGTGCCTATCATCCTAGCTACTCAGGAGGCTGAGATCTGAGGATCATGGTTCAAAGCCAGCCTGGGCAGGAAAGTTCATGACACTCCTGTTTTGTTTTTGTTTTTGTTTTTGGTCGGTCATGGAGCTTGAACTCTGGGCCTGGGCGCTGTCCCTGCGCTCTTCAGCTCAAGGCTAGCGCTCTACCACTTGAGCCACAGCGCCACTTCCTCATGACACTCTTATCTCCAATAAACCACCAGAAAACTGGAAGTAGTGCTGTGGCTCAAGTGGTAGAGTGCTTGCCTTAAGCTGAAGAGCTGAGGAACAGTACGCAGCCCCCACTCCCCCCAAAAAAGCCAAGGCCTTGACTTTAAGCCTCTTTCAGTAAAAGCACACATTGTATACTCAATACACACACACACACACACACACACACACAGTCAGATAACTAAAAAAGCTAGAATGGAACTAGGCACTAGTGGCTCATGCCTATAATCCTAGCTACGCAGGTACACAGGAGTCTGATCTGAGGATGGTGGATCAAAGCTAGCTTGGGCAGGAAAGTCAGTGAGACTCTTCAATTAACCAGAAAAAGCCAGAAGTCAAAGACCACTTGTACTCTAGGGTCAGTCTGCTTCCTTACCGTTGGGTAACTGCTACACGTGCTCTCTATAGACACATGGTCCCTCCACTGGAAGGATGCTCTTCCCCTGTGGTCACCATGTCCCAGGTGCTGTCCCGCACCAGAAGTGACCACCCCACATGTTCCGCCAGCTAACTGTCTGCAGGGGCTTCTTATTCCGACCCGCAGCCCTACCCCCTCGCCCACCGAGAGCCCTCGCCTGGAGGATGGAGGAAGTATCTGGTATGTTGGCGAAAGCCTCTGGACTTTATTCCAGGTGGGTGCCTGGCTGAGAGTGAGGCAGGTCCTGCTGTTGGGACTCACCAGCCTCAAGGGGGGGGGGGGGAACCAGAGGTCGCTGCCATGTCATTGGTAGCTGTCAGGGTCGGCATCCTCAGGCAGAAAGTACCGCTGCAGGGTGGACTGCAGGAGCAGGGGGGGCAGCGCCCGGGGTGGGTTGGGCCAGCCCGGGGGGAAGGGCTGCAGGTCTATCCGAGGTAGGGGCAGCTTCAGCACCCGGATCGAGCCGTCCAGCTTGCGGGTGTGGTGGGGGCAGAAGGAGCCTGGAAGCAGAGCAGTGAGGCCAAGGGCAAGGCTGGGGTGTGGGGGCCAGGGACCCGCGTCCACTCTTCATCCCTGGGCCCACTCACCCCGCAGTCTCATGCCCAAGCTCTGAGCGCTGGTCTCCTGCAGCCGGAGGATAGGGTGGAACCTGGAGGAAGGGTTCAAGCTCGGTGAGTCCTGCCTGGCCACCCCAGGCAGCAGCACACCTCCATCCTCTCCCAACGCACCAGCGTGCCCGGGGCGGTCGCACCACAGTATTGGGTACCAGCTGGTCTGCAGGTGAGGCTGGAAATGGAGGCTGGAGCTCAGCCTCCTGCGTGGTGCTCTGCAGCTGCATCCACTGCTGCTGGCAGAACAAATTGAGCACATTGATGGGGCCCATGCTCAGCTTCCGCGTGCAGGCCCACAGGGTCTTCTCGAGTGGCAGGAGGACACTAGGAAGCTCAAGGAGGACGGAGGCGTCAGGCATGGGCACCGAGCAGAAGGCCTGCAGAACCTCAGAAAGCTCTTTCCTGGTTGGTCCAGCACGAAACTGCAGCAGCATGCGCCAGAACTCCTGCTCTGGGTCTGGCATCTCCTGCTCAGCCGGAGAGAGTTGCCCGGAGACCTGTGGGACCACCCTCAAGATGCCCGCCTCCTGCGCGCTGGATGGCACGAACTCCTGGAGGGACAGAGATGTCAACAGCTTTGACTCGGGCACGTCACCAGGGACAAAACTAGGCGCATTCAAGGTCTCTGTCTGTGGAGGAACGGCCACGAGCGCAAGGACCCTTGTTCCTCCTGAGCTGGAACTCCCTTTTGGCTGAGCCCGAGCCCTAGGCCCGCCTGGAGGGTACCCTGCCCTGACCGGGTTCCAGACTTCCAGCCTGCCTGAAGTTCGGCCTAACAAGGAGATCCAGAGAGAAGCTGCAGCGGGAGAAACATGGAGGCACGGAGCATGAGCTGGTATTCCTGGGGCCCCACTTGGTGCTTCCTCAGGGCTCTGGGGAAGGGGGGAAGCTCCCCCTGGGAAGGCCACCTGGCCCTAGCTCCCAAACCTCCAGCTGCTGGGTGATGTCATCAAGCTTCTGACAGCAGTACGCTCGCACCACAGCCTTGGAGCGGATGTCTTGGTTCCGGACCCAGGTCAGCATTTCTGCGTACAGTAAGTCCCGTGGGTCCTGGAGGCCCAGCCTGTGCAGCAGCTCCTTCACCTCCGGCCTGGGACAGGTGCATGGGGTGGGTGACTTAAATTGGGCCTCCCTTGCTGGCAGAGGCCCTCACCCGAGCAGGACTCACAGGTAGCGGGCCGGAGACCAGAGGAGGTAGGACATGAGCTCCACAACCACGTCTCTGCAGTCCTCTGAGCAGGCCAGGAGCAGCTGCAGCGCCAGCACCACAAACTGCTTCTGCATCTGGTCCTGAGCACAGGGAGGGAGGGTTGTGGCTGGCAGAGGAAGTGTGTGTGTGTGTGTGTGTGTGTGTGTGTGTGTGTGTGTGTGTGTGTGTGTGTGCGCGCGTGCAGGCGCAGGGGCTCACCTCGAAGCTGGGGGGTGGGTCCAGGTTGAGCAGGTGCAGGAGGACCTTCCGCAGCCATTCACGGAATTTACCAGTCACGTCAGGCAGCAGTCTCGCCAGGGAAAGTAGGATCTTCACACGGTCTGCCCAGGTGGCCTCCAGCAGGAGGTTCACTAACACGGAGGCCAGGCCCTCCACGGTGCCCATCTCTGGGTAGGCCTGCAGGTAGTGTCCTGAGACCCTGCCTCCCACTCTGCCCAAAGGTGGGCTCTTCCTTTCCCCCCACCCACCTCCAGCCTGGGCTTCTCAGCCTCCCAGGGTCCCCCAAACCTCCAGAGTGAAGTTGGGAAACAGCTTTTTGAACCAGTTCTGCACAACGAGAAACTGTAGGAACTTTGGTAGATGCCCATAGCGTTGTTCCCAGGGCGAGTACTCGTGGTGGTGCTGGGAGTGGCGGTGGGGCAGTGACATCTTGGGCTCCTTTGTGAAGCTCCGGGGCCTCAGGCTTAAGTCCGGGGAAGTCTAGGGGCAAGCGGCAGCAGCCTCAGGCTCCGCTCCGCAGGCTGGGGCGCCCCCCCCCCCCCCCGCCCTGGCGGCCGGCCATGCTGGGACCTTGGGTTTCCCGAAAGTACGTTGCTTCTGGTCCAGAGAAGGTGAAGACCAGTCAAACTTCAGCTTGTCTTGGTCTTCCTCCCAGTCCCTGAACTCTTCCTCCTCTTCTTCCTCATTCCCTGTGAGGATGCTAAACAGCCAGCGGGCCAGCCTCCGCCGCCACCTGTTCTCGGAGCGCCGGTGGTGCCGCAGCCACTGGGAGTACAGGCTGGACTGCAGGCGGGAGAAGGCAGCGGAGGCGTCTGGGCGGCTGTGAGGCCAGCGGGGCACCCTCTGTCCACCCCTCGCCCTGCCTGTACCTTAAGTCTATTCGAGACAAGGTGGGCCATGGCCACCTCTTCAGACAGCCACATCCGCTGCAGCACCACCGAGTTGGGCACGTAGCCAGGGAAGCTGATGGGCCGCGGGTGGCGCTGCAGGCAGCACCAGGGCCGGCTGAGGGCCCGACCCTCTGCCTGGGACACCCACGTGGGCCCCTCGGGGCCACACATCCCCAGTGGCTCAGCTCTGCCTGCCAGGCTCCCGAGAACCAGGCTGGGCTGCCAGTCCCTCTCCACACAGGAGGGCCAGCAAGCTTATAAAGCAAAGTGGGGGGGGGGGGCAGTCCAGGGGACACGGGCTGGAAATGAGGACCAAAATCAGGTGAGCTGGACTGTGGAGAGCCCTGGGCCCTCTCGTGCTTTCCAGAGGATGCAGCTCAAGCCCCGGCGTGGGGACGCATCTGAGCCACGTGGTGGATATGCAGGCAAAGCTGGGCGTGTGGGACTCCTGGCTCAGGCCCAGGCTCAGCAAATAGCAAGGAGCCGATGCCTGTAGACATGGCCATACCAGAACTGGGGCCAGGCAGGGAGGGGACACAGGGACCTGCCGCTTGGCTGTCCGGGCTGCAGGTAAGTATGAGCCTTGGGGGTCATTGAACACACAGGTTTTGGGGGAAGGGAGATGGGGCCTGCAGGAAGAGTAACGCTGGAAGGGGACTGCTCTGGGAGCGGGACCGGGGGGGGTCTCACCTTGTAGGGTTCTGTGGTGGCGGGAAAGAAGCCTTTGAACTTTGAGAGTGATTCCTTGTGCCGTTTATGTGGCAACCGTGGGGCCTGGGGAAGGGAGGGGCTCAGAGAAGAAGGAGCACCTGGCCTGGGCAGGGGATGCCCGCCCGTGCGGCCCCTCACCTTGTGCTGCGGGGACGGCGGCACACCCACCATCGTGGTCATCTTCCCTTGGAGCTTGTCTGACTTCAGCTGCAGGTCCAGACTAAGACCCAGGACACAGCTCAGGGAGGATCTGGCCAGGAGCTAGGGCAGCAGCAGAGTTGCAGGGAGGCGGAGGCAGGCGCTATGAAATCAGGCACAGGCATGGGAGGGAAAGGAGGTCTTACCTCGGAGGCTTTGCTGTGCACCCTCTGCCGGATGGGTGGAATGGGCAAGGAAACTGGAGGAGGGTGCGCAGAGCGCTGGTCCAGGGCTCCTAAGGCCTGAGGGACTGGGGGTGTGGGCAATGTCTGGGATTCGCTGCTGACTGCAGACTGCTTGACACAGGAGGCGGCTCTGGCTGTGGTGTACTTGTCCTCCAGCTCTCTGGCCATAGTGGTGTCTAAGGTGTCCTTTTGATGGTCTTCCTTTCTGGACAGCATGCCCTGGGGAAGGCAGGAGGGGGCTCTGTGAGGCCTGGGGTGAGGGGGAGCCCAGGGTCAGGGCAGGGTCTGGCCCTACACCCACCGCCAGGCCACGGCCGTAGATCAGACACAGGTAATTGTTAAAAGCTTCTTGCTGTTGCTTCAAGGAGAGAGGAGGCTGGGCTGCAGAGGCCAGTAGCCCCTGCTGTAACTGCTGCAGGTCCTTGTCCCGGGCCAGCAGGGCCTCTAAATCCTGCAGTGGGTATGAGAGATCAGGCTGGGCTTCTTTGAGACTTGCTCTGTGCTGCCCAGGGGGTCCCAGGGCCACCCAGGGACTCGAGGATTGCAGCCGGGGCCTGGAGCATTGGAGTGGCGAGGAGTCAGGGCCTGCCCACCCACCTCCTTCAACACTGGCTGCTCAAGCGTTGGTGTCTGGAGATGGATGAAGGACAGGGCCGCACTGCGGACAGGTGACACACACAGGTGGGGTGCGGGGGAGCACTGCCAGCGGGACAGGGCCAGCCAGAGGAGGGGTGCCAGCGCGGGACGGGCTTCGCCCGGCCCTCAAGGAGCCCGGAGTCCCGAGCCCTTGTGCTCCAGTCCAGGGGTGGGGCCTCCCCGTGAGCAGGGCTGACAGCCTAGAGACCTGAGGCTGGCTTTCTCCTGCAGGTCAGAGAGCGTCTGCAGCTGGGCATCTGTCAGCGATTCCTGGCTGGTCAGCGGCAGCGGAGGGTCGTCTACCACACTCGGGGACATCTGGCACAGCTTCTGCGAAGGGAGGAGCAGGGGCTCCAGCATAAGGGATCTATCGGGGCAGCAGCCCCACTTCGCCCGCCCTCACCCTACCACACACCTTAACCAGATAGGATGTGGGTAGGTAGAGGCTGTGGGACACCAGGCAGAGGCGGGAGCCCAGCGCCAGCACCAGGTCGCCACCATCGCTGCAGAAGGCCAGAGCCTGAGGGGCACTATCCAGCTGCAGGAGCCTAGAGTCCAGCCCCTGCTTCAGAGTGGGAAACCGAAGCAGCAGCAGCCCTGTCCCACCCCCAGTCAACCACTGGGTCCTGGTGGGAAAGAGGTTGGGAATCCCCAAGGGGCTGCCCCGCTTGCCGCCCGGGCCCTGCCCACTACAGCGGGTGGTTCTCCCCTGCCCAGGGCAGGGGGTGGTCCCCCCTGGTTCTCCCCTGCCCACCGTAGCAGTTGGTTCTCCCCAGTCCAGATGCGAATGGTGCGGTCCAGGCTGGAGCAGGCATACAGCTTGAGCGCGGGACAGCAGCACAGGCCTGGGGATGGTGCTCAGGGTCGGGGCGCTGGAGAGGATGGGGTCCCTCCCCCGCATCACCCTGGCTCCGCCCCCTTACCAGTGATGTGGTCCTGAGGGTCGTCCTGGGGCTGGTGGTCGCAGCGTGGGCTGTCGGACAGGCCATACTGCACCAGACCATAGGTGGCGCTCTCGGGATCCTCGAAGCCCACGGTGATGCGTTTGCCCAGCGCGCAGAGCGCCACAGCCGGGTGGCAGCAGGAGAAGATGCGCAGCAGGCTCAGGCTCTCCTCGGCGTAGGGGAACACGCGCCACATCTTCACCGTCAGATCTCCGCCTGAGGGCGCGGGCTGGGGGTCAGGCGCGGTGGGGGTGCCTGTGGGCTGGCTCAGGAGCGGGAGGCACTGACCTGAAGACACAATGCTGTTCCAGGTGGATGCAATGGTGGTGACCGGGCCCGGGCTGTGCGCCTCCGTGCGGAAGACAGTCTTGGAGGTGCGCAGGTGGAGCACCGACAGCGTGCCGTCCGTGTGCCCCAGCACTGGGAGGTACCTGTGGGCAGTGCACCCGAGGCAGGGGCTGGGTGGTGGTGGGGTGCTGCCTGGCCTTCCACGGCCCTCCACAGCCTGGCCCTCCACGGCCCTCCACAGCCTGGCCCAGCCCTCCACGGCCCTCCACGGCCTGGCCCAGCCCTCCACGGCCCTCCACGGCCTGGCCCAGCCCTCCACGGCCCTCCACGGCCTGGCCCTCCACGGCCCTCCACGGCCCTCCACGGCCTGGCCCGGCCCTCCACGGCCCTCCACAGCCTGGCCCTCCACGGCCCTCCACAGCCCGGCCCTCCACGGCCCTCCACAGCCTGCCCCAGCCCTCCACAGCCCTCCACGGCCCTCCACGGCCTTCCACGGCCCTCCACAGCCCTCCATGGCCCTCCACGGCCCTCCACAGCCTGGCCCAGCCCTCCACAGCCCTCCACGGCCTTCCACGGCCCTCCACAGCCTGGCCCTCCACGGCCCTCCACGGCCCTCCACAGCCTTCCATGGCCCTCCACAGCCCTCCATGGCCTGGCCCAGCCCTCCACGGCCCTCCACGGCCCTCCACAGCCTGGCCCTCCACGGCCCTCCATGGCCCTCCACAGCCTGGCCCTCCACGGCCTTCCACGGCCCTCCACAGCCTGGCCCAGCCCTCCATGGCCCTCCACGGCCCTCCATGGCCCTCCACAGCCTGGCCCTCCACGGCCTTCCACGGCCCTCCACAGCCTGGCCCTCCACGGCCCTCCACGGCCTGGCCCTCCACGGCCCTCCATGGCCCTCCACGGCCCTCCACGGCCCTCCATGGCCTGGCCTGGCTGGGCATGTGCTCCCACCTGTTCTTGTTCTTCCAGGCCCAGGTGACGGCCCCACAGCTCATGTCCCCCCGGTGCTGGCGCACGGTCTCCCAGCAGGTGGCGGCGCCGGTCGCATCCAGGAGGTGGCTGTAGAGGTGCAGGGCGCAGGGCTGTGGCGCGGGCAGCGGCGGCGGGTGGTGCCGGTGCAGCACCTCCATGGGGCTGCGGGCCGCGTTGGCGCGGATCAGGTGCCCCTCATGCGTCAGCAGCCACAGCGCCTCCCGCGGCAGGCAGTAGGCCACAGCGGCCGCGCAGTCCTTGGGCCCCAGCGGCAGGGCGCTCACCATCTTCCCAGTCACCACCGACACCAGGCACACCGACCCGTCGGCGCAGGCACACACCAAGCGCATTGGCAGGGGCGGCTGAGCCGGGGCGGGCAGCGTGGGCGCCACCTGCAGGTGGAGCACCGGTGCAGGCAACTGCGCCAAGGGCGAGTAGAGGTCGCGGAGGATCCACAGGTCCACGCCGGTGGGGCACAGTGAGAGCACCGGCCAGCCAGGACCCGCGGGCGGCAGCAGGCAGTCGGCCGGCTCTGCGTGCTCCTCCCGGCCCCAGTGGTCCAGCGCCACCTCGCCCACCTGCTCTGCAGTCTGCAGGTTCCACGTCCGCAGCGTCCTGTCCTGCGAGGCTGACAGCAGCAGGCTGGTGTTTGGCAGCAGGGCCATAGCCGTGACTGGGCCTGCAGGAGACAAGCTGGTCATAGCAAGAATCAAGGGAGAGGGAGCTGTGTGCCTGGGAAGCAGCACACACATGTGCATGCATGCAGTCCACGTGCACACACACACACAGCCTGGCTGGTGGAGGGCCTAGACAGCCCAGAGGACTCCAAGAGGTGTGTACGGGTGTGGAGGGAAGGCACCACCAGAGCTGCCAGCATCTGGCGCACCTGTGTGACCCACGAACACCATCCGGATCTGCCAGTCCGCCTCCCACACCTTCACTGTGCTGTCCCGGGAGGCAGTCACCACAGCCCGTATCTCCTTGCAGTAAACCAGGTCCAAGATGGTTCTAGGGGTGAGGGAGATGGAGCGGCTGTGTGGATGCAGCGTAGCCCCCGTGTGTTCCCCACTGGCTCGCCTCAGAGGACCTGTCTCAAGTCCCTCCGTGCCCTAGTTTTGCTCACGTTTTGTGCAGATTCTGGCACACATTGACCAGAGCCCAGGCGTCCAGATCAAAGGTGAGCACCGTGGAGCCATAGGCCGCGAAGCAGTACTGGCTGTGGAGGTCCGGCGGCCCCAGAGCCAGACGCCTGAATGTCTCGCCCAGGCTCTGCGGCAGCTGCAGGGGCGACCTGTGAGGCACCAGGCGGCGGCCCCCCGAGCGGAACTTCCACAGTGTCAGGCTGCCGCCCACCTCAACCACCAGCAGCAGCCCAAGACTGGGCACTGGCAGGCAGCAGGTGGGCTCACTGCCCAGCACCCCGTCCACGTGTGAGTGGCTCAGCCACAGCAGGCTGAGGTCCGGCCTCAGGATGGCCAGCGCAGCCGGCCCCCAGCCTATGAAGCGGCCCACTGCGCCCAGAGGGGGGGGCACTGCCACCAGCCCCGCCAGCGGCACGGGGGCCTGCAGCTTCCCCTGCGCCCAGCCGTCCCTGGTGTGCAGGTGCAGCCAGCCGGCGCGGTCCAGCACCACGAAGCGCCGGGCCGCCTTGTCCTGAGCCACGGAGCACAGCCCGGCCGCCACCTCCAGGTGGCGCAGCGGCTCCAGCCCGTGCGCCAGGCGAGCGACCTGCATCTCCTCCTTCTTCTCCTGGGGCCAGAGCGGCAGAGCGGCCGTCAGAGGGCGGCCGGGACGGGGGAGCCCGGGGGGGAGCCCGAGGGACCCGGGGGGAGCCCGGGGGAGAGGCCTCCCGTGCAGGCCGGCCCACGCACCTTTTCCACCGCTTCGCGGAGCTGTGCGCGCAGGGTCAGCCACAGGTGGCGGGCGCGCAGGGACCGGGCCTGGCCTCGCCGGCTCCTGAGGCGGAGCTGCGGAACCCCGGGCTCCGAGGACCAGGACTCTGCGGGCAGCGGGGGCAGCCGTCACCGAGGCCGGCCCGCCCCGAGGCCAGCCCGGGGCCTCCGCTGGCCGCCGCCTGGAAGGCTGCCCGGGCTGCGTGCGCCCCGCGCAGGCCGGTCCCCTCACCGCTCTTTTCGGAGAGAAGCCCAGCGACTGGGACATCGTAGACGTCCGCATCATACAAGTCTGTGTCCGGGATCAGATCGCCAACTTCCGCTTTATAGCTGCGGCTTGCGTCCAACGATTCTGCCTCCATTTCCGCCGCCGCTGGACGTAGGCGCCCAACAGCTGTTGGGACTTACAGGCCTCGAGGCCCGGGCAGTTGCTAGGACACCGATGCCGCAGCCCCGCCCCTCCGCAGGCCCCGCCCCCGCAGGCCCCGCCCCCACAGCATCCAGGTCCACAGTTGAGTCACAGAAACTTTTATTGGAAACAGATGAGCTGCAGCAAAGTGACACTCAGTGCACGTGGCCCACCAGGCGAGGTGGGGGCAGGCAGGCACCAGGGTCCCTTGGAGCTGGAGTGTACAGGCCCAGTAGGAAATACAAAAATAAACTCTGTGGTCCAGCTGTCCCTGCCTGTGGCAGTCTGTTTGGGCGGGTGGTCACTTTTCCCACCAGGCCCTGCTCAGTCTAGTCCAGTCACAGCATGGGCAGTAGGAGCCTGTGTGTGTGTGTGGGGGGGGGGTGAGTGGACACCCACAGGCTGGAGCCAAAAGGCTAGGCAGGTGTGGCCTTGGGCAGTGCCAGAACTGGCAGTTCCAGGGTACGGCCAGCAGCAGGGCAGACCCTGGCAGCCCTCAGGTGAGCAGGTCCAGGTACTGGTTGAAGCTGGATGAAGCTGGGACCTCCGCGGCTCCTGGTCACATGCACATCACCGGGACCCTGGGCAGAGGTGGGCACACAGCAGGCCTTAAGGAGCTACCACCCAGGAGATCAGGCAGAGGGGCACCTGACCTGTCCCAACCCCCCCCCCCAGGAGATCAGGCAGAGGGGCACCTGACCTGTCCCAACCCCCCCCCCCCCCCCCCCCCCCGCCCAGGAGATCAGGCAGAGGGGCACCTGACCTGTCCCAACCTCCCCCCCCCCAGGAGATCAGGCAGAGGGGCACCTGACCTGTCCCAACCCCCCCCCCCAGGAGATCAGGCAGAGGGGCACCTGACCTGTCCCAACCTCCCCCCCCCCCAGGCTCCTGGGACTGGAGCCACCACTACTGTCACACACCTGTCCTCTTCCATGGTGTTGGTCTCCTCGGCCCCAACCTCACTGCCTCGGCCTCCGCTTTCTTCCTCCCCTAGTTCCATGTCCAGTGTGTTGCCTGCCTCCGAGGGCGTGTACGTGGAACCACTGGGTGGGGGTTGGAGAAATCGGTCTCAGGACCACCCCTCCCAGGCCTGCTACTGGACTTATACTGCCAAGGATGCTGGGCAGACTAACGCTGAGAGCAGATGGGCATGGGTGAAGAATAGCTTGGGCCTAACCAGGAGCTGGGGAGGGGGTGGGTAATACCGACCTGATGGAGCGGCAGCTGAAGAAGACAATTCGCTTGAGCCGCTTGTTGTAGAAGAAATAGTTGAAGGACCAGAGGCTACCATCCTCCCCAAAAGGGTCCGAGTCCAGGTCTGGGTTATAGCTGAGGGGTGTAAAGAACAGCAGTGTGAGGACCCCAGGGTCTCACACTGACCTGGGGGAGCATCTACAGACGCCAGCACACCTGTAAATGTCACACTCAGCAAGGCAGATCTCCTCATCCACTGCATTCCACAGCTGTGGCTTGAGGGCCTTGAAATCCTCCCGAACAGCGGAGAACAGGCTGCAGTTGACTGCATTGACCACCTAGGACAGGACACAGTTGGGCTGACCAAGGTCCAGGACAGCAGGGATGGACTAGCTGGAGCCCAGGAACCACAGAAAGTGAGGGTGGGCAGAGGCCCCTTCACACAACCCTTACCCAGCTCAGACTGGGCTCCCGGCTGAACTCATGGCTTCGGGCTGCGCTGAAGTCATAGTCGGGCCGGAAGGACTCGTTGAGCGTAGTGATCAGGTAGAAGAGGGTCTTGCGGCTGCACTTGTCGCTGAGGGGGCTGTCATCTTCACCTCCCTGACTCTTGCTCAGTCTGCTCAGAGACAAAACATCAGCCTAGCCCACCATCCCACACAACTCTGACAGGGCAGACCCCACCTCAGCTCACCTGCTCGGGCTAAGGCCAGATGTCTGTGGTGGGGACAGCGCCTCCAGCACGTGGGGCTGGCCTTCCTGGCAGAACTGCTTGAACATGTGTTTATCGTCTCCGGCCATCTTACATGAGTAGCTTTCAATCCTGTGGGTAGCAAGCCGAACCATGATGCATTCTCTACCCAGAGGCCAGAGCAATGACCTCTGAGACACCAACCCCTGGAGCTTCCGTCACCTGCCAATGATGTGGGCGTCTCCGGTCTCCACAGTCAGCTGTGAGTTGATGGCCTCGAAGCTGGAGTTTTCCAACAGCTTCATGTCCTTGGAGAGGAGCTGTGCTTCTGAGCAAGGAGCACTGCCTGAGGATGTGGGAAACCAAGCCATGGGTGTCTACCCTGCCAGCTGAGCCCCGTGCATCGGGTCTGGCCTGAGACCAGGCTTCACACCGCTCTTCTCCTTTCCCTACCTGCCAAACACTCAGCTGGCAAGGAGGAGATGAGATTCCATGACCTGAAGGTGGCAAGTCCAGGCTCCATCTCAACCACACCTCCGCCACCTCGCGAGCCTGCGCGCCAGGCTGCGCCCCAGCCCAGCCCTCGCCTCCACCCAGGAAGAAGAGAACCATGCCACCAACAAGCGCGGGCGGCGGGCCAGGGTGAGAGGCCGCATTCTGCTTCAGGAACTGGCACACCCGGGAGCGGGCATGGCGGCCCCTGGACGGGTGGGCGCTCCCCCCTGTTCCAGGGGCTGCTCTTGGCAAAAGGGGGAGAGAACCGCAAGCTTCTCTGTTCTACTGCAAGGACGCCTAGGTCCCTCAGACCCGGAAGAGCGGTGGGAGGGCCGGGCTCCACTTGCTCGCTGCTGGGTCCACCAGCCGGACAAGGGGCACCGGCCGAAGCGCGAAGGAACTACAAATCCCGGGAACCAGTTCGCGGGGTCACTGGATCCCATCGGACCGTGACGAAACTACAAGTCCCAAGAGGCAGCGCGCCGGCGCGAGGCCCGCCGGGGGCTGTGGTCCCGGCAGCCCGAGACGGCGCGGGACCGAGGGGACACCCACCTGCTTGGGCTGGGCCGGATAGGGCTGGGCCGGCCCGATCGCCGGGCGACGGGGCCGCGGAGAAGGCGGGACGGTCTCGGCGCGGCGCGAGCTCCTCAGGACCGCAGGGCGGCGCCGCGGCCTCCGCTCGGGCCGCGCTGTATCCGGGGGAAGAAGCTCCGCAGCGACGTCCCGTTACTCCCGGCCCTGCCGGCCCCTCCGGGCTGCCACCGCGACATAGCCTCGTCCCCCTGCACCGCGCCCGCTCTCGCGACCACCTTGCCGCGGGCCGCTACCGATCACACCCGCCAGCAAGCGAACCAGCGACCTCCGCCTCCCCCAGCCGGACAACAACAAGCGGCGGCCAGGCCCGGCCCCACGCCTGTGAATGGCCCACTCCAACCCAGACAACCAGAGAGAGAGCAGCCATTGGACGCGCTCCCCGCCACTCAGGCCCATCTCCCATTCCTGCTGGCTGGGACGCGTGTCTGTCATTCTCCGGGCGTACGAGCCCGCCCACTCTCCTGACGCTCATTGGCCAATGTCTCGGGGCCCCGCCTCCAGGGCCGCGGATTTTCCCAAGGCCAAGGCCGGTGGGGAGAGCCGGGGGGCGCGCGCCGGGCCGAGGCTTGCTCCGGCCGTAGCCGAGTGGCCCCAGCGCGGCCGGGCAGTGCCGGTCCCCGGACGCCGCGGGAGGGTCGGGCGCCGGCTGCGCGCGTCCCGCCCGGAACCCGGGCTCGGGGCCCCGCTTTCTGGCCGGCGGAAGTGCTGCGCTGCCCGGGCTCGCGGAAGCCGTCCGGGAGTCTGGACCCCGCAGGAGCTGAGATGGCGCCGCCGGCGGGCGGGGCGGCGGCGCCCGCGGGCTCGGGCCCCGCGGCGGTGCTCGGGGCCGCGCACGCCGCGGTGCGGCCGCTGGGTGCCGGGCCCGAAGTGGAGGCGCAGCTTCGGAGGCTGCAGCTGAGCGCGGACCCGGAGCGGCCCGGGCGCTTCCGCCTGGAGCTGCTGGGGTCGGGACCCGGGGTGAGTAGGGCGGGGCCGGGACCCGGGCCGGGACCCCGCCGGCCAGCGGAGACCCGGCCTGTCTCGCGTGCACCGGCGGGGCAGTTTTTGTGAGGACTTGGCAAGATGGTAGCGTGAAAACTTAGGGAATCGGAGCCGGGCGCCGTGGCTCACGCCTGTCATCCCAGCTACTCAGGAGGCTGAGATCTGAGGATCGCGGTTCAAAGCCAGCCCGGGCAGGAAAGTCCGTGAGACTCTCACCTGCAATGAACCACCAGAAAACCGGAAGTGGAGCTTGGCTCTAGCGGTAGAGCGCTCGCCTGAGCGAAACGTCTGAGACAGCGTCCAGGCCCTGAGTTCAAGCCCCACCCCCCAAAAAACCATCTCACTGTTTAGTGAAGAACACTGACCTTGGACTCCTGCGCTCTAGGTCGGCTTGGAGTGGCCCTTGGAGTCTGTCTCCTACACGGTCCGTGGCCCCAGCCAGCATGAACTGCAGCCTCCAGGAGCACCCGGACCCCTCAGCCTGCAGTTCCTCAGCCCTCAGGAAGCTCAGCGGTGGGCAGCCCTGGTGCAAGGTGCCACCGCGGAGGGACACAATGGTAGTGCCCTGGAAGGAGGTCTCATCTGGAGTAACCGTGGCTGGAGACAGAGATGGGACAAGCTGGGCATCTGGGAAGGCTTCCAGGAGGGAGAAAGTGGACAGATTAGAGGTTGAGGAGCTAGCGCCTGCAATGTCAGACAATGATGAAAAGGAAGAGCAAGCAGGCCCAGGGTGAGAAGATGAATGCGTTCAGAAGAGGGTGTTCAGGGCAGGCTCAGGCCCGCGCTACTTAAGACAGGAATCTCTGCAGTCATAATGAGGTGGTGCAGGTACGACTGAAAGGATGCTTCCACAGGTACTCAGGAGAGTTTCAGGGCACCAAGGAAGAGGTTACTATCTACATGAGTCAGTGGTCAAGATTGAGGAGAGTACCAGGTAGTGCAGGGGTCCTACATAGGTCCCGTTAGTGGGGGGCATGAGGTGCTAGGGACTCTGGAGA